GTTTACGACATGTGGCGATCTCCGCAAATATGTGACCGGATCTCTGAGAGCGTAGGCGTGGTCCGAGTGGCTTCCAACATTTTTTCCGAAAACGCTACACTGACTGCGGCATCTTGGAATTCTAAACTACGTTTGCACTACGTAATAATTCATATATTATAACAGTTACAATGTAAAAGATTTAAATTTAATTTTCGTTTATAAAAAATAGAATGCTAATATCATTTTTTTATTAAAATTTTATGATACAATTGTACAAAGAATATCAATGATTTGATTTAAAATAAATTGAAAGATATATTTCTTCTAATAGATTTAATTTTTCAATAATTTAATATTTTTATAGTTATAGTAAAATTTTTTAATTGTATGAATGCACCTTAAAAAATTATCCAATTATTATATTAAGATTATTTTTAATTAACTATAAGATTTATGAAAGATAATATGATGATTTATTTCAAACTAAGATACGTATATTCATTGATTTCTATACTTTTATATTCATTAATAAATTTTCAAATCAATTTCAAGTTTTCAAACAAATGAAAAAATTAAAAAATATGTAAAATATATAATATAAAATATATATAAAAAATATTTAAACATTTCATTTATCTTATATCTTTGTTTCTTAAATTCCATACATATGTATATATATATGATTTTTTCCAACTTTTTATAAATTTTTATAATTTTGGAAGTTTATCTTATATTTCAAAATTAAATTTTTAATTTTTTATACATTTATTTTTTATTTTCGTTAATACTCTTTATTATTCAAAAATAAAAATATTAATTTTTAATATTACATATTAATTCCAAAATTCGGGATATTAATCCTCAAAACCATGTATATTGTTTTTATTTCAATTTTTTTTCTTCATTTATCTTCTTTTCTCTTCATACTTTGAATTTTTCGGGTAGATATCTATTCCATTGATTATCCACGCTTTGCCAAGCGAAGCTCGCCTACGAAAGAATCTTGTTACTTCCTACGTGCGTGCTTGGCAATTCTCGGTAGCTAAAGAACAAACAGCCAAGGCGATCGAGACCTGATATCTTCAAGCTTTAGAACGTCCACCATCGCCTACGTAGTTACACGCTAACTTTGTATATTGACCAACAACGAGAAATTTTAAGAGATATCTTGAACATCATATCTTGAACCTTGAATATAAAAATCCTGAGAGACATATTCCATCATTTTTTGTTGATGGGCTATATCAAGGAATTTGAAGAAGGAAATAGGAAATTGAAAGAAGAAATAATTTGTGAAGTAAGCAACTGGAAGTTGGAAGTTAGATTGGAATAAGCAATATTAAAATTTTTAATATACGAAAGCAATATTAATAAATGTAGCATTTAAAAAAGATAATAAAACTATCAATTTCTGGCCAACTTTTCCATAAATAACTACACACTCATAACTATGCTGCGCCATTTATCTCCAAATTTAAAAATAGATTAATAAAAAATATCATCTAAGAATCTAAGATAAAATTGAAATTTCTACAATTAAGTTAAAATCTTACAAAGATATTGCGTATGTCGCAAATATCAGAAGAATTATAAAAAAAACAATAACTTCTAAATTATTTTTATCTATCTCCAAACTAGAAAACAAGACTAATGAGAAATACTTAACTTAAATATTTAACATAAGATTGAAATTTTGCGATTAATTAACAAACGCAAAAATTTTCGTTGAAATCACGAAAAACCATTTACTTATATTTCATCTTATCGAGAACAATCAATTCTTGCCAACCTTTCCATAAATAACTACACAACGCCATCTAGTTTCCAAACTTAAAAAACAGATCAAAAAGATGCGCATACCAGTGGTATTTGAAACTCAAGAATCCATTTCTCCACACTCCTCATGTTTTCGTTGACACTGATAAATAATTCCTATTGCTCCTCGGTCGCCATTACCCCCCAGAACCAGAATGCCCATGATACGAGGCGCAAAGGACAATCGTGTTCGTTCGATCATTTGGCTGGCTACGTCCGGGAGTAAGCGTGTCCTTGGCGATTTCATTTGCAACAAAGGGAGGATTCACGAGGAAAAAAGGCAGCGGCAGCCAAACAATTTCGACGAGGAATATCGTACGATCAAGGCCGGTCGAATTGTTGCCACGAAAGGCATCGAAGAAATGCAATCACGCGTTCCATTGTGCACGGGGCCCCATCGATTCAAGAAAGGAAAACTCTTTCGAATTCGCGTCGCGTTTAAAAAGATTTAAAAAGAAACGAAAGAGAGGTTAAGGTTCGACGGTGTTGACGATTCTCATTGGCTCGATTATATCAATATTTCTATTGGAAGTGAATTGTTTGAGAAAATTAAACTTAGGACGATTAAAGACTTGTAGTAAGAGAAAAAAAGATTTTTAAGAAGAATTTTTTAATTGTTTATGCAATTTATGTGTAAAGTACCTAAAATAAAAAAAATACATCATAAGTTAGAGAGAACGATAAAAAATAAACGATTTGCTATAGATTTTGAATTATTTTGTGCAAATTTTGAATTTTTTAATTTTTCTAAAATTAACAATGTAATCTATAATTACAATTAAGTATTTTTGAGTCCTATTTTTGTTCGTCATTGATCTTTGAAAAAATTTTCTTTTTTGCGAATTTATTGGGTTTCTACTTCGAGAGAAAGAATCTTGTAAATTTTTCTTAATCAAGTTTGATGTACTTTTTTGTTTGGTTCAGCGACTATTTTATGGAGATTGAGATTCTCGAATGATGAATATGAAATGTGAACATGCAACGTTTATTTATAGAAATATTTCATTTTTATAAATGAAACTTTTTGTTTAAACAAATTACAGGTTTACAATTGATATTTCTACAAACAAAAATTTTTCTTACTTGCAGAAAATCATATGATGATACGAATTAACCAGTTTCAAGTTAAAAAATTATCGAAATTTTCGTGTAAAAATTCATTTAAAATCAGCACGGATGAAGTTCTCGTTCAAAACCTAGAAGAATCGATATTTCCATGAACCATTAGTGGTTCACGATGGTCAGCAGAAATAAAACTTTCATCGAGCAAGCGAAAATACTGCGTTCCATACCCCTCGAGTAACATAAATCCGTGAAAAGATAAAAGTACCAAGGAATTCAGCATAAATTCTACTTACTCTTCTCTTTCCCTCTCTCTTACCATGATTTTAAGGGCCACCTGTAAATGTATCGTTAAGATTACACTTATTCTTATTCCCGCAAAAATAATAAAAAAAATCACATTTTCCTTATTTTAACTTATCCACATCGAAACAAACTTGTAATAAACGAGCAAAACGAACCAAAATTACAAATTGTAAAAAAAAATAAATTTTCCACTTACCTCGCTAGTCCATGTTCAAGAATATCCAATGAACGACAAATATATTCGCACGAAAATAAGAAAAATTACATTGCAGAAAAAGAAGAATAAAAATAAATAAACAAATTCTTCCATAACACGACAAATTTCCTATATAATTTTTTTCACCCTCGTGGAAATTCCATCCATGATTAATTTCCATTCCTTGCCAACAAACGGCCGTGTCCAAGCCTCGATATCCCATTACAGAAAATCGCGGATCTAATTCCTGGGGCGAAGCGGCGAGAAAAACGAGAGAATAAAACCCGAAGAAGAAGAAGAAGAAGAAGGAGAGGGCGTGGCGAGCGATGCCGGATCCCGGATCGAGGGATCTCGTGTCTCCAAGTATTCGGTGAACGGATCCGCCTGTCCTTCGACGATTCCTCTGGTTCCTGGTTCGAAGACACCGCCGCCGGCTCGCTCGTCCCCTCCGCCATGTATATAAGTCAAAACGAGATCGGAAGCAAGGTGCACAGGTCGAACAGTCCTTCGTCGAGCGAGGAGGTTCCACTGGAATAGAGCAAACGATCTCACGATGCAGTCGCTGGTGAGTGATTTCTCTAAATCTACGTCTACCATTGTGGACAGGGACACGAGTTTTCGTTTCTGAATGCGTATGTGTATGCACGTGTTATGCATGTTGACGAATATCTCTGACAATTGTTTCAAAGAGACATGCATTTATTATTTTTAGATAGTCGGTTATTGGTCCACATTGGTGTGTTGAGAACATGAAATTGATTTTGTTGGGTTTGTTGTTTTGGATGGACAATAAGGGGGTGATTTATCATTGAAAATTATGTAAAGAGAATTAAAGATAATTAGAATGGATAAATTGATTGGCTTGGTCAGGGATTTTTCCAATAATACTTTTTGAGAAAACTATATAATATTGTATCTATTATTCACATTTTCTCGTTTACAAAGAAATTCATTCACCTCGATTCTTTAAAATCACGATCTTTTTCGAATCAAATCTATTTGTTCCGATCAAATTAAATTCAAGCACTCGAGAACAGCAGTAGAATCGTAAAAAAATCGTTCTTCCTGCATTCCATTTTCTTGAAAATCAAATACGTAGCTGTCACAATTTAAAATCAATGCTGCCAGTCTTGGAAGATTCCAAGAGCAGTATCTATTTTCGTTTTCATGATTTGCTCGCGTACCTGCGCGTCTAGCCATCACTGTGGTCACTCGTTCGTTTCTTATTGGATCGTAAAAAGGATCCCTGGCTTCATGCAAGTATAAACTCAGCCCTTCCGACGCGACGAGAATACCTTCTTGTTCGTAAAATTCGACCATCCGTCGAATCGTCAACCTTGAAAGGATTCCACGAGACGATTTCATTGATGATCGTCTTGGGAAAAATTTGTGAACTCTTCCGTTCCTTCGAAATTGTTAGAATTTTATGCGGAATTCAAATTCTGTTATTTATGTTTAACAAAAATTTTTGCGAAAGATTCCTCTTTGGAATTGGAAAAAATTGATTCAAAATTTTCTTAATGATAACTCTCAAAAAAGAAGAAATTTTCTCGCTAACTTTTAATTTCAATAGCAAAATTGTAATTTTGGAAATCATATGCGAAATAACGATCGAATCAGTTTTAAAAGCTTTCCTAAAAAGATATCGGATAAACCAAACTATCTTTAAATTCCATAAAATAGAAAATAGTCGAAGATAAATACTTTTTCTTTTCTTTCAGATACCATTGATTCTGGCCCTCGGCCTGGCCTCAGCCTCGCAATTGAATTTACTCCCATACGCGTATCTGTCCAGCCCGATTCCAATATACAACCAATACCAGAACACGGTGACCGGGGAGCACGCGTACAGTTACGCCGGTGGTCCATCCGCCAAAGAGGAGGTGAAAGACGCGAATGGTGTCTTCCGTGGCTCGTACAGCTACGTGGACGCCAATGGTGTTCTCCAATCAGCCTTTTACGTCGCTGACGACAACGGTTTTCGCGTGGCCGCGACGAACATCCCCACAGACGACAATCAAAACGACTTGGAAACGGCCCATATCATTCTGGCAAGAAGCGCGGTGGCCGAGAAAGCTTCCACGCCTAGCCGCAAGAGGCGCAGCCTGCAAGACTCTAATCCGAATCCCGAGAAAAACGGGCAGAAAGAACAATCTTTGGACGGTGTCCAAAACAGTGACAACAAACAAGCTGCTACCTCGCAGCCTCCTCCTTCCGCCTCCTCTTCGTTGCTGTTGCAACCTCTGCTCCCCAACAACAACATCCCCCTCGCGACCTCGCATCAGAGTCAAGTTCAAGTGCACAGCAACGCTCGGTTGGAGGCGAAACCGGTCGACCTGCACCCGATCTTGCCTGTGCAGACCATATTGGGAGGGTTGCCTGTTCTCGCTCGCACGCCCACCTATCACGAGAACCGCATAGAATTGCACAAGCAGTTGGGCATCGAGGGGCCAAGGCCCAAAGACGCGGTCAAGATAAAGCCTGAACCGTTGACCGTGGTCCAGTCGGTACTTCCGCTCGCCTCTACCGTTCTGGCGAGAGAGAGTCTTCCTGTTTTACCGGCGATCGTCAAGGAAACCGTCCCTGTTCTTCCGGCTCACCTAACCTCTGTGACGACCACTTCTGTCTCGAGTCACGGTGTCAGCCAGATTCATGGATCATCGAACGTTGTTGCCAAGGAGGGTACGGTTGTTGCTGTTGCTCCCACGGTTGTGGAGAAGAAGGAGATAGCACACGTTCCGGCTATACCACTCGTCAAAGGAGAGGCGTCGGTTACCAGTTACGGGGTCAGTCAAATCCATGGAGGAGAAATTAATCCGATCGGACTGCTGGTCAAGACTGCGCCCACTGTCGCTGAGATACATCCGGCTATCCACGTTCCGGTTTATCTTTAAGCTGGATGGATTCGATCGAGATCAAGGTGGGATCGTGTTGAGGATTTTGGAAAATTTTTGGAATACGAATTATGAGTTATGAGGTTTATGGGACGAGGAGAATTTTTGGGGATATCCGCAACCTCTGATCCAGAAAGAAATGCTTCTTTGAGGAGAGCGTTCTTCCGGATGATTGGTTGCGAACAGTCGACGAGAATGTTGGATCGATATATTTGATCGATAGCTCGTTCGATTGGCGCGTATTGTTTTTTTTTTTTTTAATTGTCTTTTCATTACTCGCATCGAGAATCGCTTTAACGATCGATCTTTCGTTAAATTATTGCTCATTGTTCATGCTCGACAATAAAAATGATTTCTCGTGTGTAAAAAGGTGATTGTTGGTCCCCGACATTCCTCGATTTTCCTTATTTTTTTCGTTTAATTGAAATCTTTTGGTGTTCTTCTTTTTTCTCGAGCATTTGTTTAAAATGAAGATTGCATTCGATATTTTTGAAATATTGTCTGGAATTAAGAAAAATCTAGATCAATTCGTACATGGAAAAAAAAATTTGTACAAAGAGAATAGTATAAAAAATCTTTTAAAAGAAATTCTCAAGAGAGGCAACTCCTTACAATTAATAAGTTAACCAACCATAAAAAACTTCTTCAGATCCTTCTCAAATTTCTCACAAGCAATCTTATCCAACCACTCAAACGAACCCATACATGTACTTAAATAGTTACTTCGATAGCTAAAACCCAACGACTGCCATAATTTTAGATCCTGCAGCAAGAGAGAAAGAGCAGGAGAGAGGCGAATTACAACTTTAGAGAGAAATTGAAAGAAAAGAATATTACTTATAAAATTACATCTGTTACTTACCATTAAAAAAAAAAAATATTAATCATAGAAAAAGTATATAACATATACTCTCATAAATTAAAAACGAACAATATTCTATATTTAGCTATCACTTACCATATAAAATGATTCGATCCACACGAAATCGACTCAAAGAACGATTAAGTTAGGTTAGGTTAGATATATAAGAATATA